TTGTTAAGGTTTGTAACTTTGCACATATATAATTGAAGATTTAAAAGAGAAGAAAAATAATTTACAAAAATTTTTTGTTATTGTTTTGTTGTTGTTTTTTGTAATTAAAGAAAAGTATATTTGATGGCGGGCATGATAACTCCTCACTGGAACATCGGAATCCGAAAATTTAAACGGTGTTAGAAAGAGTACATGTCTGGCTCTCGTATGAACTAGGATTATTGACTTCGCTCTAAAATTAACAAAATGGCGGAACTTTGAAAAAATATTTTTGGAAAATCGCCGATTTTTTACCAAAAACCAAGTTAAAAAATAAGGAAGATTTTCACCTATTGGCTTTATCCTAGTTCATACGAGAGCTATACACTCCTAGAGAAACTTTGCAAAATTTGGAACCGTTTGGATTATTAGTTCTTGAGTTATCGTGCCCGCCATTCGCAAAAAATGTTTAGAGAAAAACGCGTTTAAAATTTGAGAAGCCCTTCAGCCGTCACTTGATGCTGACACAATAAATCGGCTATATATTCAAGAGTTCTTAAGATTTTGACTTGAAATTTTGTAGACATTCTTTAATCAGTGTATATTCGAATTATATCAACAAAAATTTTGACTCCGAGAATGGGGGGGTCCCCTTAAAGCAAATCTGAATCGAACACCCATTGATTATTTGGAGCCCAATAAACATGAATTCGTTCAAATATGTACTTACTTCAGTATGATATTCAAAATTTTGTACCTATCGGCCATATTTTTGGGGTCTTTGGTTTATTATTGACATAAAAATGTACTGAAAATCGGACGAAATTATATATGGGAGCTATATCTAAATCTGAACCGATTTTCCCAATTTCAATTGGGTTTGTCCTTGGGCCAAACAAATGAGCTGTGCCAAATTTCATCCAATTCGGATTATAAATGCGACCTGTACTTTGCGACCTGTACTTTTTACAATTTAGCATGGATAGACGGACGGACATGCATAAATCGACTCAGAAAGTGATTCTATGCATATTCTCAAAAGAAACGATGGGTCTATCTCGTTTCATTTTGCCTGTTACCAACATATGCACAAAGACATAATACCCTGTGGTGAAGGGTATAATAATTGCGAAACGTCCATATCGCTCCGCTGTTCGATATGGGCCTCATTGTCTTCTTTCTCGTGTACCAAAGAAGACTTTTCGGTTTTCCAAAAGAAGTTCAGAAGAAGGTTTTCTAGCCTCATAAGAAAACTTCTTTTAAAATAAGACATTCTGGTCATTTCTAAAATGTATTTCAGGTCGTTTATAAGAAGGCCCACTATATGAAAGATCTTCGAATATTTTATAAATATAAGATCTTCGAATATTTTATAAATAGATCTTCAGGAGATCGAAATATTTAATATACAGCTTGGAAATTTTGCATATACTTTGTTGCTACCACAAGAATGGTTGGTTTTTCACACGGGAATACATCGGTCAACGTTTTGTATTTTCAGGCACATTTTTTCGATCAATGTGGCTGTAATTTGATATTACATATTCTCGGAAGGTTAAACATATATTTTGGTGTTAACATGATAAATATTGGTCCCGACTATTTTAAAGGTTATAATCGCATATTTCCACCAAAATGTTTCTAGGTTGTCATTCCGGGTTCTTGAAAGGATGAAACAATTGATGAAGAAAAAATGTAGGTCCGTCGTTTCATAGCGTCCAAATTAATGGTTTAAGCCGCATTTTCCCACCAAAGTGGCTCTTACAGTAATATTGCATTTCGGTAAAGTTTTTATGTTCTGACGTGATGAATTTTTTACTGGTAATTCTGAAGTTCGTGAAGGAAACTCTTTATATCTTTGGTGTTGGCTATTACAAGTTATTTTAGATAAGATTTTTTTAGTAAAATTTGATGAGAAATATTTTTGTATTTCTTTTATCTCCAGTCTTTGTGCGCTTTTTGGTACTAATTACCCGTAAACTAAATACCATAAGACGAGTCTTTATTACAAATTAGATAAGGTCCTTACAGAAAAAAATCGATATTCGTATGGGGGGTTTAAACCCCGAAATATTGGTCCTAGACCCATTATAATTTGTAAATTTTGCACGTAAGTTCAGTTCGGTTAGAACGAATAAGTTGACAGTCCAAGAGGAGTGGCTGACATTTAAATTGACGTTAATTATATTTTTGTATGCACTTTGATGTGGGAGTTATACGTATATATATGAAGACTTTTCGGTCTTGCGAATCATGAATTTCCCGTTATGGTCAAGGGCGACGCCTATAATTTTCAGGGATGATCAGATGATATTTATTGAATGAAATTGTCAGAAAACGTTATTTTTGTGTTTCTAGTTGCACTAGGGGCTAGAATTATAAGCAGAACATCGCAAATGTGAATGGTTGTTTTTTTATGCCCTTCACCACACTGTGGTACAGGGTACTATGTCTTTGTGCATATCTTTGTAACTGGCAAAAGGAAACGAGATAGACCCATGGTATGGTTCTTTTTGAGAACATGTATATAATCACTTTCTGAGTCGATTTATGCATGTCCTTCCGTCTGTTAATGTTAAATTTTAAACAAAGTACAGGTCGCATTTATCATCCAATTTGGATGTAATTTGGCACAGCTCATTTATTTGGCCCAAGGGAATTTGTGAAAATCCGTTCAGATTTAGATATAGCTCCCATATATATTTTCGTCCGATGTAAGGTAAATGGAGTACCAAAGTCCCTATATATCTTTCGATTTGTACGAAATCTGCCATAGCGTACTGAATAAAGTCCAGAATGATGTGTGTTAAGTTTCGTGAAAATCGGTTCAGATTTAGATATAGCTCCCACATATATATTTTCGTTCGATTTAATGTAAATGGTGTACCATAGTCCCTAGATATCTTTCAATTTGCACACAATTTGACATAGCGTACTGAATAAAGTCCAGAATGATGTGTGTTAATTTTGTGAAAATCGGATCAGATTTAAATATAGCTCCCATATATAAATATTTTCGTCCGATTTAATGTAAATGGTGTACCATAGTCCCTAGATATCTATAAGTTTGCACACAATTTGGCATATCGTACTGAATTAAGTTTAAAATGATGTGTGCTAAGTTTCGGTTTAGATTTAGACATATCTCGTATATATATTTTCTTTCGATTTTATGTAAATTATGCACTAATGACCCAAAGTTTGTCCTGTTGTCACACAATTTTGTAAATTGAACTGTAGTTAATATAAATAAGTTTGTGGGAAGTCTCGTTGAAATCTGTTCAGATTTAGATATAGCTTCGTCCAATTGGCACCAAATTTTGCAAAACGTACTGAAGATACTATAACATAACGTGTGGCAAGTTTTGTAGGAATCGGTTCAGATTTAGTTACAGCCCCAAATAAAATTTCTTGCGATTTTAAGTAAATGGTGTACCAAAAACCCAACGTAAGGCCGATTGACACAATGTACTGATGATAAGTTTTGTTGAAATCGGTTCAGATTTGGATAGAGCTTCTATATATATTTTCTCCCGATTTTAAGAAAATGAACTCGATATTCACAAAACATACTGAAATTAGTATAACCTAACCTATGACAAGTTTCGATGAAACCGGTTCAGATTTCTATATAGCTTTAATATATATTCATCCGATTTTAAATAAATGGTGCGTGCACCAATCTTCTTAAATGATTTACATGATTTTGTTCCATTGTAAGAAGCAACTCTATATCTGACCAAATGAAAAATTTAGTATAGGTTGCAGAATGACATGTTTATGGATCTAATTTCATGTTAATGGCCCTTCAAAAATTCGACGTCTGTTAGAATTCATCTGGTGAATATACCCAAAATGGTGAAGGGTATGATATTCATCATTCTAAATAAATAATGAATCATTCTAAACAAGTAGCTACGTTAAACAGGAACCAATTTTTATGTACCGTTATAATTTTTTGTTTTTGCTGAAAAACAGACAAAACTGCAATTTTTCAGCGATTTTGTACTTCTGAATGCTCGCCAAGGGCTTTTGTTTCTCCACCACCAGATCATGAGCTCCATTTGTGTCACAGTGTAAGTAGACTTCCTGATTAGGAATAGGTAGACATTTACCTTTTGATTTCTATAAGAAGATCCAGATGAACAACTCGAGGTCTTCTACGTGAAAATGCACTATGGACTTCTATATGAATACTTTGGCCCTCTATAATAAGATTACCTGGTCTTTCAAAAAATAACTCATATGATCTAACAGGATATGTTCTTATAAGAAGAATTCCGGAGTTCTATACGAAAATCTTGCGATCCTATATAAGTAGACTTTCAGGTCTTCTATAAGAAGTCTTTCAAGTTTTTCAAAATGGATATTCCGGATTTCACCAAAAGGCCACCAGGTCAAGTTGTTCTGGTCTTCTATAAGAAGTCTCTGCAGTGTTCTTCTATAAGAAATGTGGTCTGATTGAAATACATTCTTTCGTGTTATAGATTAAAAGAATCTATTCATTTTTTCACCACATATACATTATTTCATTATATACATGTTGTTTTGTTTATATATAACATTTGTTTATGTTAGGTCTTAAAGAAAAAAATATTTCATTCAGAGGTCATGGTACACTACCGGATGCTGTAATGAATGAAATAATGGTTTATTTTTGTTCTATCATATGGCTAGCAAACAAATGTACTTTAAATTGCTAGAGCACGTGTTAACAATTAAGTAAAAATAGTATTCGACAGCCTAAAGATTAAATCCAATGAATATCTTGTGAAGGTGGCAATGCCAATAAATTCCTAATTACTAAAAACAAGACAATCGATCAGTTCAATGTTAACAAAAATACAATGCCAAATGATTTAATGAATATTTTATTGTTTGTCTATTAATTTAAGACGGCAGGTTAGTTTTTTGTGGTTGTAATATGGATTTGATTTAAATTCTCAATTAAACATCGGATGTTGGTGGTGGTGATTTACTATATAAAAACAGATATTTGTATTATTTTTTGTTTTGTTTACCCTCAATCATGCGCTCCTTGGTTTTGGTGTATTTGCACTTTGTTTTATTTCCGGCCGCTGTTGTATTGCTGCTATCTTTGCCCGCAGAAGATTTCTGTTGGTTGGCCGTTGTGGCCGCTGATGTTGCTGTCGAAGACATTTTCACAAAAATTTGAAAATATTTTCAAATTTTTGAAATATTTTATTGCTTTTCTTTTTTGGCAAATATTGAAAACACACACACTCTCTCACACAATACACTTTCTTATATTCTTTGCTTATTTTTGATATATTTTATTTTTTTTTTGTATTTCTTTTGATAATGTTTTATCTTTGTTGTTGTTGTTTTTAGATTATACTGTTGTATGTCACCGCTGTATTATTTTCTTTCTCTCTAGATTTTTATAAATAGAGATTAACATTTTTTTTGATTTTTTGTTTTTGATTTTATTTTCTATTATCTATTTGATCACATCATTCGTTTGATTTGAGATATAACAACATGGACTGAAAAGTTTTGGGCTCAATATTTCCATTTGAAATAAGCGATTTTTATGAAATTTATCACAAACTATGTCATATATGTTTTTAGCTCTCCGAGGAGTATTTTAGCCAACCATAATAAACATACCGAAAAAGGGTATGATGGTCCGATATACATTTTTAGGAAAATTTCCAATCCAATCAGAACCGAATATATGAAAAACTAAAATTTTAGGTGTCACTACTATAGAAAAAGCCTTAATAACAATTTTTATACCCTCCACCATAGTATGGAGGGTATATTAGTTTTGTTTTTCCGTTTGTAACACATCGAAATAATCATTTCCGACCCTATAAAGTATATATATTCTTGATCAGCGTAAAATTCTATGACGATATAGCCATGTCCGTCTGTCTGTCTGTGGTAATCACTCTAGCGTCTAAACGAATGGAGATAGATCGCCAAAATTTTGCATAGAGTCGTCTTTTGTCTGCAGGCAGGTCAAGTTCCAAGATGGGCTTTATCGGTCCACGTTTAGGCATAGCTCCCATATAAGGGTACCCCAAAATTTTCGGTATTTTGGGGTTCTTGAGCGCGTTTTTCAACCGAATTCGCTGAAATTTGCTTATTGGGTACCAAATATCTCCACTAAAAATTATAGATATAGGTCCATTTTTTCTGGTAGCCCCCATATAACGGTACCTCCTAATTTTCAGTATTTTGGGGGTTTTGTTCGTATTTTTTCGCCGAATCAGCTGTAATTTAGTATTTTGAGTTCTTAATAGGTACCAAATCTCCCCACAAAAAATTATAAATACAGGCCCATTTTTTCGGATAGCCCCCATATAAGGATACCCCCAATTTTTGGTATTTTGGGGTTTTTGAGCGCGTTTTTCAACCGAATTTGTTGCAATTTGGTATTTTGTAGTCGTATATGGTAACAAATCTCCCTACCAACAATTATTAATATTCGCTCCGTTTTTGGGGTAGTCCCCTTATAACCCCCTTTTTTATATTAAAATAGTTATCTGATTTGTTCCGCGTTGTCAGTTTATTCTAAGACACTTGTAATAATTTCACCTGCGCACATTTTCACCGTGTTAAAGTGTATACACCCTCATTAGCCATAAGGCTGACGGTATAATTATCCATTAAACATTACTGAAATTTGTATTATGGTTTACATAATCCTTTTTTAGAAATGTCGGTATAAGTCCAGCGGGGAGTTTTGACAGCCAATGAGAATATACATAATTACAGCAAAATCGGTTGAGAAACTGGGCTACCTTGAAACTTGGGTCAATATTAATAATTATACCCTACACAACTATGTTGTCAGGGTATTATAGCTTTGTGCAGCCCCAAATGTTTGTAACGCCGCGAAATATTGGTCCTAGACCCACCTTTAAGTATACCGATTTATCTCGACTAGCTGAGTCGATCTAGACATGTGTGTCCGTCCGTCCGTCTGTCCATTATAATTTGTAAACACGATACAGGCCACAGTTATGGACCAATCTTCACGAAATTTTGCATGTAGGATGGGTTCTGGCCAATGAAGACCCCTATTGTTTTTGGAAAAGATCGGTTAATATTTAGGGGATGAAATGGACCAAATACAAAATTTTTGTCGGTTTTTCTGGTCGCTCCAGAGGCCGCAATTATGGCCCAAACACCGCGAATTTTTGCATGGAGAAGGGGATCTGGCCAGAGAATAAGCATGCATGTTTTGATAAAGATCGGTCAATATTTACCGGGTCAAATGGACCCTGACCTTTGTGTGAAAAATGACAAAATTTGTATTCTATGGCATATATATTTACTCCTGGAGGATGTAGACCCCAGGAGTTGATAGCACATCCAAGAGGAGTGGTTGGCCTTTAAATTGATACCAAATATAGTGATGTATCTACTCAGATGTGGGAGTTACAGTCAAATATTTATAGGTGCTTACGTATTCAGATATTATTCAGTAACCCATCCACATTAGAGGGAGAAATATCGCGCTGATGGCTTTGAAATTTTTCATGAAGTTCCAGTTATGGTCAAGAACAACGCCTATAATTTTCGGTGATGATCAGATTAAAATTTTGGGATGAAATGGACCGAAAACATAATTTTTGTGTGTTTTCGAGTCAGAGTATAATCCGAAAATCACAACACAACCCACCGTGAAGGTAATCTGGACAAGTAATTAGAAGGACTGTACTGAATATTCGAAAAAAGTAAGGAAGAGGTGTTGTTAACCTCTAATCGGACAAAAGGGGGAGTTATCACGAAATATTACCAGACTGGAATATACATAATTACAGAAAGTTAGAGTTCGTGGTAGTTGTGTAGGGTATCGCATGGTCGGCCCCGTCCGACTATACTGCTCCGCTCACTGGTTTTTAGTATACAGAATTTTATTCTGATCAAGAATATATATACTTTGTAAGGTCACGGTGAGTATTTTGCGGTGTGACAAATTGAATATACACTCCTCCTCATGTTTGCGGATATTAAAACAATCAGAAATGAAGTTTAGGTATGTTGTTCAAAAAGAAAACCAGTGAGGAAAGTAGTAAAGTTGGGAGCTACATCTAAATCTGAATCGATTTCAGTGAAACTTTCCACAAAGTATGTTATACTAACTTGAGGACGCTGTGCAAAATTTTATGGTAATCGGCCATATTTTGGGGTATTGGGTCACCATTTACTAAAAATCGGACGAAACTATACATGGGAGCTATATCTAAATCTGAACCGATTTTTCCCAATTTCAATAGGGTCCTTGGGCCAAAGAAGTGAGCAGTGCCAAATTTCATCCGATTCGGATCATAAATGCGACATGTACTTTGTTTACAATTTGACATGGTCAGACGGATGGACGGACGGACGGATGGACGGACGGACGGATGTTACAAACATATGCACAAAGACATAATACCCTGTACCAAAGTGTGTTGAAGAGTATAATGATAGAACAGAAGTTCCGTTTTTAATGTTTCAGTTTCAGAGCATTATTTTATTAATTATTTTTTTTTTATTTTTAAGATTTTAAATAGGCTGGTGAATGAATACCAATGCATGTTAAGGTTTGTAACTTTGCACATATATATTTGGAGATTTAAAAAGGAAGAAAAATAATTTACAAAAAATTTTTGTTGTTGTTTTTTTTTTTTGTTATTAAAGGAAATTCATTATTTTTGATGGCAATTAACAAAAGTGTTAGAAAGAGTACATGTCTGGCTCTCTCTAACACGGATTATTTATCTTGCACAACAATTAACAAAAGGGGGAACTTTGAAAAAAAATTTTTTTGGTAAATCGCCTATTTTTGACCAGAAAACAAATCGGATTATTATTTTTTGAGTTATAGTGCCGCCATAAAAAACTGATTCGAGAAAAAAGTAAAACACTGATTCGAGAAAATCGCGTTTAAAGTTTGAGAATCGCTTTTGCCGTCACTTGATGCTGACAAAATAATCGACTATATCTTCAAGAGTTCTTGAGATTTTCACTTGAAATTTTGTAGGGACATTTTTGAATTAGTGTAGATTCAAAAACTAAATAAAATTTTTTGACACCGAGAATGGTGTCAAAAAATTTAAGATAGAGTTTTTGCAAGAACATTGCTACTATTCCAATAATGCTACGTATTGAAAATGGTGATGAATCGGTTCAAGTTTTTGTATAGCCTTATATATTCATCGAATTGGGTATAACATGATATTTTACATTTTTAGTGGCTGTAAAGTCTTTAATATTCGACACACAATTCTTTTTTAGTGATAAATCAAGGACCGAGAGTTATTTCGAATTTCGAAAAGCTACCGTATTTTATTTTAAGCCCTTTACTACTTTTCAGTCCATGAGTTACATTTATATTTCATCTACACAATTTTTTTATTTTTAATTTATTATATTATATTTTAATAAATTTATATTTTAATTTTATTATATTATTTGTCTAGAACATTTTATTTAAATTGACACAATTAAATTTCACAAAAACACAATTCACATGCTTTGTAAATTTATCATCATCATCTGCAGCAGAATCACTATCATGGGCAAATTCAAAGAGGTGTTGTCACTATGATTTGCTGGTCAATTGATAATTTGTAGCTTGTCTTGTTATTCTAAATCGTTGTATCCTTGTTTTGCGTGTTTTCTCTTTGATAATTGACAATTAATGTCACTCAAAATGTTGACATGCAGTAAAAATTTTTTAGTTTGGTGCAATGAAACAAAAAATATTTTTCTTTTTTTCAAACACAAGGCAATGTCTTGCTCTGCACAATTCCACAAAAAAAAAAAAAAAAAAAAAAAAATTAAAAATAACACACAATTTCAATGGACAAATTACAACGAATTTGTATCTTTCTATATTTTTTTCATTTGTTATTGAACTTGAACTTTCAAATTTTTAAAAAATATATATTTTTCTTTACAAAAAAATAATAAATATTATTTTTAATTTTGTTACACTCGCGCAACGTTTGTTTCTTGGATTTTTATGTTCACCTTACTTATTAACTTGGCATATTTTCCGAATTTTCAGTCAACAACGATTTGTATTATTTTGAAATTTTCTTGCGATATTTTCACAATGCACGCATCCCGACGACTTGTCCGATATTTGTGAAATACACAGTGCGTTCTTTTCAACTCGATTATATTTTTTTTTGCGAATTAGATACGATTTTCGTTTTTGGTGGGTAGACCGTGGCAGCGACAG